GTGTGTGTGTGTGTGTGTGTGTGTGTGTGTGTGTGTGTGTGTGTGTGTGTGTGTGTGTGTGTGTTAGAAAAATATTTCTCACTTCCAAAATTTGCTTAAACGGAGTTGTTTTCTAACATTATCATTATTTTATGTACAATCATTGCCAGCACTCCAGTGAAATCTAAACCTGACGTGCCGCTACAAGAGGAGCTGGAGAACAAATTAGAGGACGAGCTGAAAGTGGAAGAGGAGAAAGATGGAGAGGAGGAGAAAAAGAAGCAGGAGGAGGAGGAGGAAGACGACGGCATGGAGTGGGATCTACGCAACACAGACTCTGTTTTCTCTGAACTGTCAGAGTTGAGTCGGGATTATTTGGAGAGTGTGGACCAAGGGGCGAGTGTGAGAGGTAAACTCCCATTTATTGGCTTTTTTCACAAACTTTGTCACCCAAAGTTGGATTAATGAGCCACTATGACACGGAGATTATATATGCATTAACAAATCCTGTGTTGTGTTCTACTGATTAATCAAAACACAAACTATTGTAATACACAGATAAAAGTCACTAACATGCAGTTTATTTTTTGTTATCAGTGTTTCTGCTTGTTTTTCTAAGTCTCACCGCTCTTTTCTGTTCAGGTGGTTCAGACCAGTTTGAGGAGATTCTTGCTCAGTATGAGGATCTAAAAATCATTCAGTGAGTTTCACTTTCCGTTAGTTCTCGTTAGTCTTGTGTGATTTCCACGGTGGGGGTTGTCGTCGCATAAACATTTCTTGCTTCAGTGAAAATAAAAACACTTGGGTTAGACTGAAAAACCTAAACAAGTAAATCTGCTTTTGAGCCATCTCTGTAAGGTAAACACAAAACAAAGTGGTGCATAAATTATGTGGTTAAAATGACAACTTCTTTTAATTGTGTTGTTTTATTCAGCTGTTTATAACAAAATGCATCTGGTTTCCCCTTTATTTTGTAAAGATTTAAAAGGATAGACTCCTAATATAATATTTGACAGTAAACAAGATTATTTAACAAAATGTATATTTTCAGTTTGCACAAAAGGGATGTTTCTGTCCAAGGATACATCATGTAATGCTGAGAAAAACTGAAAAAAGTAAATAAAAAACCAAGAGTTTATCCCAGAAGGTGGAAGCCTCAGTTAGGATACTTTATTCTATTTTATGATCGAACAAAAGAAAACCAGTGTGAAAAGAACACAGCAGCAAAAAACTCTTGTATTTATGGTTTATTAGTGTATTTAGGAGCAGTAAGTAAGGAATAACCAGACTCTGACACCGGTCGTACAAGGACCTGACAGCCCGTATCAAGTGGCCCGGTACCCCATACTCCCGGAGAACCCCCCACAAGGCCCCCCTTGGGACACGGTCGAACGCCTTCTCCAAGTCCACAAAACACATGTAGACATACATCACATACATACATCACATAAAGATACATACATACATCACATACATACATCCATCACATACAGATACATACATGCATACATACATACATACATTACATACAGATACATACATACATACATACATACATACATACATACATTACATACAGATACATACATACATACATACATTACATACAGATACATACATACATACATACATTCATACATACATACATTACATACAGATACATACATAACATACAGACACATACATCACATACAGATACATACATTACATACATACATTACATACAGATACATACATCACAGATACATACATTACATACATACATTACATACAGATACATA